TAAAGCTGTGAACCAAATTGTCAACTATGGTGGCCTTAGTGTTGTTCTCTGAAGACCCCTGAAAGGTAAACAAACAAATTTTAAAAGATTTTTTTAATGAGCTTATTGGACTAGGAAGAAATGAAAGACAAAAATAGTATACCTCTAACGGTATGGGTGGTTGCAGCACCTTAAGTGAAGAGGGTGGTGGTAGCACAACTGGAATCGAGTCTTCTGATACAGTCGCAGTGGTTTTGTTAGGAGCTGTATCATCAGTAAAGCTCTGAACCAAATTGACAACTACAGTGGTCTCAGTGTTGCCCTCTGAAGACCCCTGCAAAGTAAACAAACGAATTTTAAAAGATTTTTTAATGAGCTTATTGGACTAGAAATAAAAGACAAATAGTATACCTCTAATGGTATGGATGGCTGCAGTACCTCAAGTGAAGAGGGTGGTGGCAGCACAATTGGAATCGAATCTTCTGGTACGGTCGCAATAGTTTTGTTGGGGACATTATCATGATGAGATTCATACTCCAGGTCATCGTGTCTCTCTGGTGGAGCAAATTCCTGAAAAAATATAGCAGTGCATTATTTGCAAGGTGTAGACTTAACCAAGTTTAAAACAAAACTTTGGAGAAAAATATCACTAACAAGTTTACGACACGCTGCATAAGTGTGATCCATGTGTCCATAACTACCACCATTTTGTAGTTCATCGTTATCATTTTCACTGTCATCATTATCATTGCCATCATTTTCATTGTCTTCAGTTTCATCTGTGTTGTCATTTCCATCATTTCTACCTCGATCATTTGATTTCTGAAGCAAACAAACAAAACACTAAGGTTAGGTATATAGTCTAGGCGGTACACGTCCCAACCCAGAAAAAAAACCGCAAAAAGGTATAGAAGTGTGAAACTTGGTACACTTGTTCCTAAGACCATTTTAAAGGATTTGACCCGTTGCTCTTTTCGATTTTTGCATTTGGGTTCAATTTTTGAACATTTTTAACAAAATGGCGGCCAATATTCAAAATTTTTGATAATAGTCCTATTTTCACCATCCTGGGGTCGTTTCCGAATATTTCGAGGATGCTGAGGCGAATGCCGAGGTTTTCGAACCCCTCCGACCAACGGGTATTCCCTAAATCAGCCGTTTTTTTTCAAAATGGCGGCTATTTTCGCTTTCTAGCGTATTTACACTAATGCACCCGTGTTTGGTGTCGTTTCCGACCAATTTAGGGTCGCTAAATACATTTCTGCACTCAAAATTTCTGTTAGGTGGTTTTGAACGGATGATAAGATACCAGGTTATAGTCAGTTTCGGTCAAAAATTGAATAGGTGCGTCATGGGTGTCGTTTCCGGCTAAAATGAGGTCGCTGAACACGTTTCTGAACCCGCGCGCACGTTTTGACATCATATTAAGAGTAAGCGTACATTGTATGCTCTACCTGGAGTATGCCTGCAAGCACGCTCTAGCTAGCGCATGCCTGCCAAGCATGCACTTACTGGTGCATACATGATGCCATGTACACGCTAAATGAATCATACATCTAGTGCATAGCATATGGGATAGGGAGTTGTCTGCATCAGGAAGCGTGTACATGGCATGTATGCACTAGTAAGTGCATGCATAGCAGGCATGCGGTAGCGAGAGCGTGCTTGCAGGCATGCTCCAGGTAGAGCGTACAACGTACGCTTTTGGATTTGTAGAGTAATTCATTTGTGCAAAGGAGATCCTTTGTTTCTTCCTTCATTCAGTTTGTATTGGAATCACTGCAAATGCAAAGGCGATACTTAAGTACATTTTTTGGTGATACAATTGAGTATCGCCAACAAACGGCATAACGGAAAAGTATTGCCCTCAGAACGGCGATACACAGAAGTATCGCCAAAATTTGGCGATGCTTTTGGGTATCGCCAAAACCGCGGCATTTAATTGAACTAAGGCCTTGTCCCCTTGATTTGTTCAATGTTAAATGCCAAATCGTGGCAATACTCCGAAGTATCGCCAAATTTTGGCGATACTTTTGTGTATCGCCGTTTCGAAGGCAATACTCTTCCCCAAGGCCGTTTGTTGGCGATACCCAATTGTATCGCCAAAAAAGGTACCAAAAGTATTGCCTTTGGATTTGCAGTTAACTGACAATAATTCCATCACATGGACGACACAACCATAAATAAACATTTAAGACCAACTTTCGACTGCAGAGATTTAGGCATTTTCATCCCTTCTGATATATGCGGTTTTTGAACCGAGAACGTAAATTCATTCTAGCGAGAACATTTATTTGAGACGCAGACATGGTCAACGACCTCAAATTACCCTGCAACAGTCATCACACTCTCATTCCAGGAACGTGACATCACGTTAAAACGAACGTGACAAAATGTCACGTTCGTTTGAATGTGAACAAGCTGATTTTTGGCAAATTCACACACAAACGAATGTGACACAATGCTCAAACGAGCGTGACATTTAGTCACGTTCGTTTCAACGTGATGTCACGTTCCTGGAATGAGAGTGCACTCACACATCAAACAACTTTTGAACCAAAATGCTAGTCGGTTAAGCGGTTGTGCCGGTCACTCTTTGGTGCCGACAACCGTCAACCGGCTGAGTGCAGCGACAGATGGTAGAGCGGAATTAGGAGGTGGGTCGGTGGAAAGGACGCACTGAGTTTAGATAGCTAGTCGACCGAATCACCGAGCACTCACTCGATATGCGTTCACGCGTGAGGACGTCCCGAACAGATCTGCCGCTCTCGCCTCGCGTCTTCCGGCGGCAGACGGCCCGCGGCTGGCTGTCCGCCGGGTCGCGAATGCAACCGGATATGCATTCGCGACATCGCCTTTTCTTACAAGAGGGCCGCTACCAAAGGGCGCGCCTCTTCAAATGGGCCGCTTCCCTGACAATGCTGTATATTTCTTGTCCTTGTTCAACCCTTAAGGGGGGGGTAAAGTGAAATTTGTAATTTTTTCCTATTTTTTTTGCGTCTAATTCTGACTCAACAGTCACTCTGACTCTAAAATGGACATGACCATTGGATTCCCCACACTTTTTTACCCCTTTAGCACCTTGAGATGCATGTTTAATGTCACTTTTCTATTTTTGACCATTTTTATAGAATTGGTCGACATTTGGGATAAATTTCTTGCGCGCAGGATTTCTCAGCCAAATGTTGTTCTAGACACCCGACAAAATTCACGCATTTAAATATGGTCAAAATGAAGAACGCAAGGCGGCCACATTTTTGAAAAACCTCTTCTATGACTTTGAATCGTAAAAACTAGAATCATGACAGTTTTCATGCCGCTTTTGGACAAATATTTAACTGTATCTAAAGATAGAAATTTTTTTTTGATAAAAACTCTCCCTTGTCTTCTAGCTATTTAAATAACGATCATTTTGAGCTATCACACAATATTCTATCTCTAACGGTGCCCAAGATATCCTGCGCGCAAAGTAAAAAAAAAAGTTACTGAGAAAAACACGTTTAAAGTTTCAGGACAGTTTCATGACAGTTTATTGGCCATAACTGGACATAATAAATTCATATGACTAAAATTCTCCAGCAGCATAACTAGGGCCTCCCTCCTGTGCATTTAGACTCTCTTCATGAGCCTTCCCAGCCAACCTCCTGGCTCGACGGGCCTCCTTGGTCTCTTGCTCAGCCCGTTGGTCAGCCTTCTTGATCCTCGCTGCATCCACTGAATTTGCCCAGTTGATCATATGCCTTCCAGCAGTGACTCCTATCCTGTCCAGCACTTGAATCTTGCTTTTCTGACCATCATTGAATGTAAGGACGGCATCATATGTTCCAAGTTCAACCTTAAGACGTTGACAAAAAATAGTTTTTGGAACAGCTTTCCAAACCAAAGCATTAAAACTCTCATTAGGGTTCTGTGTCATTCCATCTACACATTTCTGCAAGAGCTCATCTTTTGTGAGGTCTACATAGACTGGCTTGATAGCATCCATGACAGCTTCAGGGAGTGAAGCCTTATGTTTGAACTGCTGTTTTAGTGCTTGAGTTTTATTGTATTTGCACCATGAACTTTCACCCTTAGGACAGAGGTGATGCTGAGGTTTAGCATCTGTGGATCTGAAATGGAAAAAAAAAGCTCAAATTATTATGCAAATGAGTTCCTAGTTTTTGTTTATATACTATTTATGCTTTACCTGTAGTGATAGAAGGTAGCCCAAACTGCATTTCTGATTGAATCTACATCATTATTACCTCTTATGGCATTTCCATAGTAGGTAGCGAGCTGGTCTATTTTCTTATCGGTTAGTCTGCCAAGACCTCCCAAAGGTTTTCCATCCTTCAATTTTTTCCCCTTCATGTCCTTTTTTAGTTTTCTCAGTCTAGTTGACATTCTTTTTTGAACATGGCCAACACACTCCACCTATGGGAAAGAAATCAATTAGAAAAAACTTAACTTAAAAATATTTAGCCAAAACAAATCAATGGTTGAATAATATTTACCTTCTCAGGAATGAAGTCATCGCCATACGGTTTCTCATCACATATGTTTTTGTAGGTCTTTGCATCACCATCTCCTATGTACTTTTTGTAGCGAACATTTCTTGTGGCAACAGACCGATTGAAAATGTTGAGCATTCCAGTCACTTCCATCATACCAGAAGAGCCCTCATGGTTGATAGCACATACAGGGATGTGAGCGGCATTCCACTCATCATACTCAGGCCCTTCTTTGGGTCCGGAGTATAAGGAACAACCAGTGCAAACTTTGGACAGTACATCAACATCCATAACCTTACCAGAATTTGCTCCAATTAGGGACACGATTCCATTTTTAGAAACATGCCCTCGTCTCTGCCATGATCCATCTCCACTTCCATTTATATCCCTGCTGCCCTCCATTTCAACTTCAAGTTCTACTCCACGCAACATGGACATATCTGCTTCATCTTGAAAACTTTTATGAATAATTTTTATAGCTTTGTCATAGGTTGGTTTGGACACAGGGGGAGGAAAGTCCATTAGAGCACAAATTGTCTTCAATCCTTCATGACCTACACCAACAGCTCGGGTTGAAAACACCGCTCTTCTGTTTGCTTCTGCTATTACATTGTTATCAGTCCCAACATTTTCACAGTTTCTAAAAGATTTCAAAACACCACACTTTTCACAATTGAGTTCAAATTTAGAGCTCAGGCCACACACAGTAATCTCTGTTAGTTTCACAGGTTTTCTACAGCTCTTGCACCGAACACATTCAAGGAGCTCTGTCACAAAGAGATCCAGATCAATGACTCTGAAGCCTGACCAATTTCTCCGTGCCTCACAGACTTCTGCCGGTTCAAGAGAAACTTTACGCCTCGAAGCACTGGACGGTCTTTCAGGGGTACCAGACCGATCTCTTGCGTGTTGTTTTGCCAATTTTTGTGCCAACTTCGCCAAGGGCATCTGTCAACAAAAAAGCAGACCGTTCTAAGTTACAGGGAACATAACCTGTTTAACAAAGCAAAGCAACAGGCGTCGGCTCGGGTATACCTTTTCTTGCTGTTCTCGCAGCTTGCTTGGTGTAAGTCTGCGTCTCGGACGAGAGCCAGAGCGCGAGCGCGGTCTCGCAGGATCCATCTCGTTTAAACACGATAGTTGTTACCACAGCAATAATACTTTCTTTTCGATGTTATTGCGCACCAAAATCAAAACAGTCAGTACCGCAGGGCACGGAGTGTCGAGTCTCGGATGCGGGCACGGCCACGTTGAGTCTCGGGAAGCCGGCACGGCCACGGCCTTCGAGATCGCTCGTCCCCTCCTCTCCCTTTCCTCCCCCGGGTGCCCCCCTTCCCCCTCCTCCTCTCCATCCCTCTCGCGTGTCCGCCTTCCCCCACCCCTTCCCATCCCACTCTATGCCTTCCGTGGCTCTAGTCGGCTTCCCTCGGCTCCCCTCCACTCCCACGGATGCCGCTGGCGCGCGAAAATCAAACAGAAGTAGCGCGCTCGGACAAAATACGGCGATTTAACGGCATTTGTACGATTTGGTCAAAAGTCCAGTTTTGCATATGTTCTGATAAAACGGTCCTACGTTGATTTGAGGGTGCTGTGGGCCCAAATATGGTCAGGAATGGTTTTTCCAAGGTCCAAAGAGTCCAAAAAAACAAAAAACCGAAAATCGATTTTTTTCACTTTACCCCCCCCCTTAACCCTTATCATGATGGGAAGCACGGTTTTTAGGTACAGTTCTTCTGTACACCGTGAGGTACGGTCTAGCCGTACCCTTTCCCTTGAAATGTACGGCTCTTTTTAAAAGTGTGACGTGACAAATCGGGCATGTCACATTCGTTTATAAATTTGACAGTTCACCTCACCTGCTGATAGCGTGTCACACCCGAAGAAATGGTAAATTCACCGTCTGCCACGCTCAAACTAACATCACCGTTTTCATGTAAAAACAAACGTGACGGTACATTCGTTAGCTACCAGTGATTAAACAATTTTAAAACAACTGTCAGCAGAGTTAGTTCAACGACCTCAAATTACCCTACTATATCAACCATCACACACACATTCAACTTTTGAACCAAATTCTGCATATTTCTTGTCCTCGATCAACCCTTTACTCTTAACATGATGTCAAAACGTGCGCGCGGGTTCAGAAACGTGTTCAGCGACCTCATTTTAGCCGCAAACGACACCAATGACGCACCTACTCAATTTTTGACCGAAACTGACTATAACCTGGTATCTTATCATCCGTTCAAAACCACCTAACAGAAATTTTGAGTGCAGAAATGTATTTAGCGACCCAAAATTGGTCGGAAACGACACCAAACACGGGTGCATTAGTGTAAATACGCTAGAAAGCGAAAATAGCCGCCATTTTGAAAAAAACGGCTGATTTAGGGAATACCCGTTGGTCGGAGGGGTTCGAAAACCTCGGCATTCGCCTCAGCATCCTCGAAATATTCGGAAACGACCCCAGGATGGTGAAAATAGGACTATTATCAAAAATTTTGAATATTGGCCGCCATTTTGTTAAAAATGTTCAAAAATTGAACCCAAATGCAAAAATCGAAAAGAGCAACGGGTCAAATCCTTTAAAATGGTCTTAGGAACAAGTGTACCAAGTTTCACACTTCTATACCTTTTTGCGGTTTTTTTTCGCGTACCGCCAGGACTAATACCAATGGTACAGTACACACATCAGGAGCGCACGCCAATACTTTGAGTATTCAATCAAATTATTAAAAAGAAATACTCTTACATTTTTTTGCAGTTTCCACCTCGACCTGGGCCGGAACTGTTTTGCTTTGGCTTTCCTCGGCATTGCAGTTAGGGGGGTTTCACCAACAGTTCAGTTAGTTAATAGCACCACTTGCTATTCATGGCAATAAAACGAACAGCTGCAAACATAAAACAACGACTAATATCAACGAATAAACTTGTTTAGGGCTCAAGTTGAAAGAATCAATAAAAAAATTCGACGAGAACTAATTCAATACTAGCCGGGTTAACCAAGCCATCGCCGTCGTACCACTTTTGTCATGGTACTACTAGCAAAAGACACAAGCAAGATAAGAGTACTATGCATATTTTAAAACTGCATAAGCATACGAACGACAGTTTGAAAGCCATTTGGCAAATTATGAGTTAATTTACTCGCTAACAGCATATAAAGGTGGTAAACGACACATACCTGTTCGTTCGGCGTCCGCCATGACACCCGGATGGGCTGACCGGGCCGTGGCGAGCCGCGCCAAACAGCGTCTGTCTCTCTCTAGGATCTTCCAGACAGCTCAAGCCACTCGATAATTCGGGATTTTAGGGTAGAATATGAAAGTAATGGTCGGAAATGGATGTAAACCGTTCATTCTTGGTCTTTTTGGAGAAATTTAGGCTATCGCATTGCTTTCTACGTACAATATTAAGAGCGCTAGAGACTGACAAAGGGGAAAGTGCACCAGGGAATTGCTACTCCATACAAACGCCCTCCTCCAAGGCCGACCCACCCATTGCAGAACTCTGGCCGGTGTTAAGCCCTGGTCATTCGGAGTAAACCGGTGCCTAAGGCGGTTTTTGACTGGTCCCTTAAATTTTCGCATGAGCGACTTAATGGTCTGCACCGCTTTCTCCGCCGGCCCGTTGCTGTAAGGACAGTACGGCGCAGGCATGATGTGCCGAACGCCCCTGCTCGCAAGGTGATCGGTAAAATCCGTGGACGAAAACGCCGTAGCGTTGTCGGTGACGACGAGGTCCGACAGCCCGTGCTGAGCGAAAGCCTCGTCAAGCTTGTCGAGGGCCACTTTGGTGCTCGGCCCGGACACATGCCAGGCCTCGATCCAATTTGTGGCCGAATCGACAACTACAAAATAATATTGGCCGTCAACCGGCCCGGCAGAATCTGCGTGGAGTCTTTCCCACGGTTCCGCTTGGGGCCACGGTTTGTGATTGGTACGGCACCAAAGGCGACATGGGCCTATCCTTCTGGCAAGTGGTGCAGCTGCCAACCACCTTTTTAATGTCATTATCAATTTTCGGCCACCAAAGAATGGAGCGCGCCAAACGTTTCGTTTTGGTCACTCCCTGGTGGGGCTCGTGCAATTTGGCAATTGCGTGACCAACCTGTTTCACCCATATCAGCGTATTCGCCACCTCAGACAGCTCGGTTTTGCGGCGGAAATACGGCTGGAGCGCCTCGCTAGGGCTTTTCTCCGGTCATCCTTCCCTTGTCCATTTACGGAATTCCTTCAAAACCTCGTCTTTGGCTGTGGCATTCACGTCTGAAAGACCTTCACTGTTAAAAAAAATCTTAAAATTCAGACCAATTTTGTAAGACCTGGTGGTCTGATTTCTGAATTAAGACCAGAAGTATTCTAAAGAAGAATCCTCGGATGAATTTTAAGACTTTCGCAGTCTTAAAAGCAAATTCAGACCATCCGGACAAAAAGTCTGACAGGGGTGACTGAAATTCAGACTAAGTACAAGACCATGTAGTCTGAATCGCCTTTTCAGACTATTCTCCTGAAAAGGAAGACCGATTGATCTTAAATTTCAAACTGGTTGTGTATTTTCAGACCATGGGTCTGAAACGGGAGACGTATTGTTCTGAAATGTCAGACTGGTTGCCTCATTTGACCAAATTTAACCGCAATATTTGAGCGCTAAATACAGAATCTTAAATATTCACGAACAGCCCAGATTGTCCGCAGTTTAACTCCCGCAACACGCGCTTTGTTTGTTTATTTGCGGCCTCCCAGCGTCCAGCAAGCGCGCTTGGAGTCATCGGCATCCTGCAGCCATGCTCTCAGAGCGGTCCCGTGGTGTAATGGATAACCCGCAAAGCCGACGAGCGAGGATTCGATGGTTCGAATACCGAGATATTCGGAGTTTCCGAGTAAAGAGAACGGCCGATAAGTTACGCGCAAGTTCTATCAAAGACTTCTCTCGCAATTGAGTGAAGGTTCAACGTTACAATTTTTTGTTTTTGTCTGAATTTTCTTCAGACTGGCCGTGTCTAATAATTCAGACCACCTAAATCTTAATTTTCAGACCACCCAATTCTAAACTTTGAGACCACCCTATTCTAAATTTTCAGACCGCAGAAATGGTCTGAAATTTCAGAACCCCTTACTGTTAATTAACTTCAGTCAAATTTTGTCTGAAATTTCAGAATTTTTTTTTTTACAGTGTTAGAAAAGAAGCATTCTACGCACCCCGCAGTTAACGCTTGTTTACAAGGAGCGTGTTATATCGATTCTCTGAGGGGTTGGCCAGCCCCTTTATCAGACTGATTTTAACCGCCGACCCTCCACAGGCCATAAACGGCGGGTCCCGGCCCCAAGCAAAGTTGCCAGTTCCTTGGCGAGCCATTCTGACGTCAGTGCCACTGCTGTCCCTCCTGGTGGCGCACCTGGGCTACTTGTGGGGCTACTGGGTCCTCATCGCCTGCACGCCCTCTTACATCAACAACCTCCTGGACGTCGGCATCGAGTGGGTGAGTCTTCTTAGTCCAGGCACAGAGCAGAAGCAGACCATTCCCATTGATGCACACTGAGAAAACCTTACAAACTTTTTTGGCTTTACAAAGAAAAGCAGTATTTTGAGCACATAAGCTTACAAAGAAAATACTTCGTAATTTACGAGTAGTTAAGGCCAGGGACAGGTGAAAAAATGATCTCAGAAACTGCTGGTCCAAAACTTCTTATTTTCTGTCAAAATCTTACTCTTGATGATAAACTATTTCACCCTAAATCCCATCCCATAATATCAAGCGGTTCCTGAGATACAGGCTTTTTTATAATTTTTTAAGTGTTTGTTAAAAAATTCCTGTGCGTTTCCCATTTTGGGTTATTGACCTGACCGACATATTTTTTTGTTCGTCTAAGTCCAAAGAACAAACGCAAGTGACAGATTTTAGTTTCCGGCACTGATAGCAAAATACCAACTTTTCAATTTTGATATTTTTCAAAAACCAAGGATTTTCCCTTTTTTTGTAAAAACCGATATCCAAAACCATACTTCTGGGTGGAATATACAAAAACTGTCACTTGCGTTTCCTCGCAATAACCTACTGAGTCAGTGGAAAAAATATCATTGACGACACTTCAAACAGTATGCGCACAGGACCATTCAAATGTTAAAAAAATGTCTTCGGAGAAAAGGTCGTTTAAAGTTTGGTGACAGATTTTAATGGATTTTCAGCCAAAAAAATCTCCTTGCGCATACTATTTTGTCGTAAAAGGTTGACCTGGATATTTTTCACTTCTTCGATTCATTTTTAAAGATCCCAGCACGCACAACTGAAAATGTCCATTACATTATCATTGGCAAGCTTCTAAAGCATGCATTTCACTTAAATTGATCAACAATGTACAAAATAGACAAGTTTTAGTGACTTCTTAGATGAAAAAAGCATGTGATTACTAATATAATGGAAATTTTGAACTAGGCATGCTGGAATCTTTTTAAAATGAATCGAAGAAGTGCAAAATGTGAAGATAAGCCTTTTACGTCAAAATAGTATGCGCAAGAGGATTGTTCAAGATACGGCTAAATAGAGCCAAAACAGTCCAAAAAAGACAATTCGACTGGGTTCAAGACCTAGCATATGCCTTCAAAAATCAAATCTTAGTCTCTTTGAAGTATGATTTCATATTCCCAACAAATTATGACAGTGGGGTTCATTTTGAAAATGGCAAGATTTTCGCTAGACCCCCCCCCCTCCCGCCTTGATGGCAAAACGGACAATTTTACTAAAGTGTCGTAAATGCAGGAGTGTGCGAAAAGATGTATTTTAAGCACTTCCAGGTCCCGGATAGTCGAAGTCCCGACAGATCCTGAAAGAGGAAGGTCCAAAGGACCATTTTCCACCCAGAACTCATTTCATTCAATTTCACCAAACTTCTTCATTTTTTCACCTGTCCCTGGCCTTAATACTTCGTAATTTACGAGTAGTTAGTACCCATGTGAGCCATAGGAGCAGTTGCCAAAATTCGGGGCACTTTTGAAGGCCATAGAACCGCAAGAAAAAAAATTAGGAAAAGTCGGCTTTTTTCTCGGCCAATTTATTCAGTGATGTCCCATGACTTATCTGAACGCAGTCGAGCTCCCGGTGCAATATTGCAGAAAGACCAAAAAGCCCCTATCAAAAGTATAGGGGAAGGACACGGAACGTTACATTTTCATTCAAACAGGCCTAGTAACTCTCTTGCTATGAACTAAAACACGCCATTTGGTGTGAGCACCTGTTTTAAGATTCCTCAACACGTCCCGAAAGAATCATATTTGGTCTGGAACTTGCCCGGGGAACAGAAAAGCATTTTAAAATCATGGTCGGACACTACCCTTTAAAACAAGATTCTGTGCTTTCTACTATTAACTTCTCAGAGTTCCCGTTTGCACCATTCGACGGCAAAAATGCTACAGATTAATCTGACGACAAGGCCGAGAACTATCAGTGGAGTGCAACGCGAGAAACCGTGATAATTCACATGTAACGTTCCGGAAAGTCAACCAGGGAGGACATTTTGCGTTTACAGATTGCACCCAAATCGAGCTCGTAAAAACGAGTTCCGTAACATGTGTCTGATAGATAAAATATTTAAGTTTCCGAATATATTCGCAGAATCGTTCTACGTTCCATATTAGCTGAAATGATCCAGGAAGCGGAAGAAGGGAATAACTTGACTTATCCCTAAATTGAGTTTTAATTTATTATTGTGCCTTAGAATGGTTTCCATCATTACACTATTTGACTGAATTCCAAGCAGTTTAATAGAAAATCCACATGGAAAAAGGGTATAACTCGACTTAACCCCTTTTACGGTCTAAATTTCATTGGAAAATGGAGATAACTAAACGGAAGTCCACATGAGTCCGTTTGACAAATTGGCAAAAGGATATAACTCAACTTGTATTTTTATGAATCTAGTGTAAAAAGAATCAACTCAACTTAACCCCCCCTAAATTTTAAATTTCAATTTGAAAAAAAGAGCTAAGTCCAAAAAATACACCAGAGTAACATACACTTTATGCAGACTATTGTTCCACTTGACTTGTTTCCAAATTCCTCTTTGTTTAGGAAATATAAGGTGAGCTGACTTTGTTTTCCATTTCAACGGAAAGTGATAAGTCGCAGAAATCCTCTACGGAGTGACCTTACACTTTTGGTTTTATTCCAAAATTTTGCCAATGCTTTTTAAAATTATTAACATCTGCTACATTCATTTGTTTTGTTTTAGTTTACCCTGCTAACAGTTTTTTGTTTCTCCTGGAAAATGGCCAAAATTGAGTTATCCCCTTCTTCCGCTTCCTGGATCAAATATAAGCATCGAAACTTTGAATTTATGGACGGGGGATATACCGGAACGTTACAAAATGACCCTTTGGAGCACTTTATCGACACCTTCTGAATTGAAAAAGTGGTGACAAGATGGATAAGAATGGGCGACGTCGAGCCCAACACAACGCACCAAACCGCATCTCAATACGTTGAAAAATAACGATTATAGAGCCAAGAGACACGAAAGATACCCTTATTTTGGCAACTGCTCATATACGGACCTATTGCAATGGGCCTAAACACAAACCAGACCCTCGCTTACGTCGAAGGTTGGATCCGTTTTGATGAAGGCCCCACGTCAATCTTGGCCTAGGGCAGTAGTTTACCCCTAATAGATATGTTGTGGGTTTGCCTTTCTACTTTCACCTCATTTTTGTCTAACAAGCAGGCGATTTTCGAGCGACCTCAAAGAGCCGGGTCTCTAGCCACCCCTCCTGGGTCTCAACCAATCGGTTGGGTTTCAAACATTAAAAATGGTTTGGAGCCCACTGCCGAACGGTGTTTGGCTGCTGCGGCCGGGGTTCTTCGAAATTATTCATAACTGCTCTCCGTAAACTCAATCCGCGAAGCACATAACAACCATAAAATAAAAATTAATACTTGCTCTTTCTGCTGAACGTACACTGCAAACCTAACTGTCTACTAAGTACACACTTACAAATGCGTGCTTGCAAGTACACACTTACAAACGCATGCTTGGCCAAGTACACACTTACAAATGCATGCTTGCAAGTACACACTTACAAACGCATGCTTGACGCATGGAGTTATATGGCGTCAAGCATGCGTTTGTAAGTGTGTACTTGCAAGCATGCATTTGTAAGTGTGTACTTGGCCAAGCATGCGTTTGTAAGTGTGTACTTGCAAGCATGCATTTGTAAGTGTGTACTTAGTAGACAGTTAGGTTTGTAGTGTACTCATTGATTAAAGAGGCGCTTGTGCTTATTTTTTTTCGACGAGTGTGCATCGTGGTTAATCCTTGGTATTCTCATCTTTCTCTTTTTGTCTTGTCTTCAGAATGGCCTGCTATCGTCTGCGCCACAAGTGGCCATGATGGTCTCATCCATGTTGTTTGGCTGGCTAGGAGACCAAATTGAATCGAGACACTTGCTGTCGACCACGGCGAACAGGAGACTCTTCAATACGATTGGTGATAACAATTTTACTGCTTTCAGAGCGTTTGGGGACCATGTTATCTGTCGTCCTGCATGCGGATCGGTCAACCTTCAACCGTAGTGTGACATTTGACAAGGTTCATTCATTGCAATCACCTTGCAACCAATTGAAATACTTTTTTTTAAAAAAATGCAACCGGAATTAGAATTTGAGGATTTATTTAGAAATAGCTGTATGTGATCAGTAGTTAATGGTTGACGTGAGTTAAGCAGTAATACTGTCATGTGATGACCCACCGTCGTGCTTGCGTCACTAGAAATATTTTGTGAAAAAAGTGATGAATGCATTGTTTTTTAGCTAAAACGCATCTGCTTACTTCATACATTTGCACAACTTACGTACGTGGTCTTGCACGTTTCTGCGCATACGTGCTTTATGTGTAGATTTGTTCGCGATCACTCTCTTTCCAGGAACGTGACATCACGTGAAGACGAATGTGGCGAAATGTTATGCACGTTTCTTCGAGCATTGTGTCACATTCGTTTTTATGTGAAGCACCGATAAATTATCTTGTTCAAATCCAAACGAACGTGACATTTTGTCATATTGCTCCAATGTTACGTCACGTGCCTGGAATGAGTGATTTCACACGAAAAGGTGCGATTCCGCGTACCAATAATTTGGGAAAGTAGGACATTACTGGTAGTCAATTGCAGGTGTAGGACATCATGGTCTGCAAGTGTGTGTGTACTTGTCCTACACTTGGCTTGGCAGTGTGAGGAAACCTCGCCAGCGAATGAGATGTCTGGTTTACCTGTGATTTCTCTGCTGCTGCAGGCATGTGCGGTCCGGGCCTCATGTGTCTTCTGATAGCGTTGTTCGGTGCCTCAAACCCCGCTCTGGCCCTGAGTGTCCTCACCGTCTACGGCGGGCTCATCAGTGCCAGCTTCGCCGGCTCCCTCATCAACTACGTGGACCTGTCGCCCAACTTCAGCGGAGTCACGTTCGCGTTCGGCAACATGGTGGGGGCCTTCGGGAGCGCCTTCGCGCCGTACGCCGAAGGCTTCTTCGTAGACCGTAAGGTAAGTTCAGTTGCAAATCCAAATGTGGAACACAGTCACTATTTGGCATAAACCAAAACGTCTCTCGCCTACGTGAGCAACGGTTGTCCGACGCTTGTTGAGAGGCAACGATGTCTCAGTCTCATACTTGCATGTGTGAGAAGCGGTTGTCTCACTATGGGAAAAGCGAAACATATATACCCACCACCATATACAACTAACCGTGGCCTAACCAAAATATACGACCAAACTCATCAACATTGGCATTGTTTTCTAAAACTAGGTCAGGATTATTTATGTTTCCTTGAACGTTTGGTGACATGCTGAGCAGCTAATGATTGAGCAATGGTTCTTCAACGACTAGGATCCCATGCCAGGATGGAGTAACGTCTTCTACCTAACGGCGGCGGCGTACTTCGTGCTGAACGGTGTATGGTACATTTGGTGCAGTGCAGAAGTGCAGCCCTGGAACAACCCACCGCGTGTAGACACGGACTACCTGGAGAAAACAAGCTCATCTGGAAACCTTTCACCTCAAAAAACAGGTGAGTAAATTACTATTTTTCGATACGTGTCGTAACATTTAGTATCGTTCCAAACTCGAATTTCGAATGCCGTCTGCATTACCGTAGAACGGGGTAATATGAGACAAATTTTGAGGTTTTTCGTGAATTTCCCCCTTTCAATTTCATTTTGAGGTACTGAGGTGTTCATCACTTGTTCATTGACCCTTTTGCTACACTCCCACCAAATTTCAGATTTTTAGGTGCAGTAGGGACCTTTCAATAACCCTCGGAATGCCGTCCCATATTTCCCTGCAATGTGGGGTAATATGAGACAAAAGAAAGAAATGTTAAAGAAGTATGGATAATTAAATCATTTAGGCGGGTTTGGAGCTTTTTAAGTTCTTTTCATTCATTTTAAAGATGATTGGAACCTATAATGGAGACGATATAAAATCTGGAGGGGAGAAAGATGGGTATCACTAAAGAGAGCTCAAAAATGTATAAGAAGTCATGAGTTGTGCCTGTCACATGAAAATACTAAACGAAGAGCATAGATGCCGGTCAGGTAGTAAAACAAATTCGCGTTAAAATCATTATTACTTGAAATTATTAACAGTGGAGTATGTTTGGCCTCATATTTCAAGCGAAAAGAGGTGTCTCTATTTTCCCTGCAAGGTAACAAAATTGTATTCCATCTGGAACAGGCAGCCCGAGAGTAGACATAACGGAACCAAATTTTGTCCTGATTATGTTGACATAATTGCCTACAGATTTAAACCTCGTTCGGACGAGAACCCAAGTTCTAACCGAGGTTTCTGGGGAGGTTTTTATGAACTTTATAAAACTTGATAAAATTAAGAGGTTTTTCCTTTGGTTCTAAATAACACTGGCGAGTCTCTGATAGCCTCCGTGCGTTTCCTGTGAGCTGCTACGGCCTCCTAGATCACGAAAAAAAATTCACGGTAGTCTTCTGAACAACCGCTAGAGAGCAACACGACAAAAACCGAAAAAAGTGCGCTTTGTCTCGATTTTCCTTCATGTCTCATATTACCCCGTTCTACGGTACGAACTGGCATCTAGTACTAGCAAGGACCTATTTGTGATAATAAGAATCTTTGTTAATGTGTTTGAAAGTTTAACCTTTCGCTTAAACCTATATATTTGGTGAAAATCTAAAACTTTGCCCTCACCCACATCCATGTATTAGAAATCCTGAAATATGTTCCTCCAATTGTGATTGGAATTTAGCCACATGAGCCTATTCTGCCACAACCATGCACTGTTATTCAACGAATGTGACATCACATTCGTTAGAATGTGAATTTTGTCGCGTACGTTTGAATGTGATGTCACATTCGTTTGAACGTGACACGGCCATCATGCGGCCGTCTGATGTGGGTGTCACATTCGTTCAAGCGTGTGAATCAACATTCAAACGAATGTGACATCACATTCAAATGAACGTGACAAAATTAACATTTTAACGAATGTGACGTCACAATCGTTGAATAACAGTGTGTGGCCTCATATTTTCAGGGTGCAGTCTGGCTTGCCTAGGCGCTCATCTCCGATTCTAACATAATTTTGCTTCTTTTTTCTTCAGGGATCCGGTCAGAAGTCTCGTTTCAGAACAAAGAATAAACAAAAAAACTGGATTTTTCGACGTTTAAATTTCCGTTGTTCTAATCAAGCATCACTGTTTCGAACAAGTCACATAGAGTGTAATTCATATCCAAATTATCGACTCGATTTGGAAAACTAACATTGTGCTCAGAGGAATGAGCAAACATGAGTAGGTAGTAAGGGCAACTTCTTTCACGGCATAAGATAACCAAGAAATGAGTTCATGTCTATGGAAAGGAAATTGGTGGACGTGAGCTCAAAAACACGATATTGAAGAAATTATGTAAATGAATATTTTTAATGACCTGAAAACAATTTCCAATCGCACCGCACTCGCAAACCCTGGCTTTAAGTGCACAGAAGTGCAACTGTTCCTTTTAACGCACCGGAATCGAACCGGCCATACGAAGAGTTGTTCGAGGAGACCGAAGCACTTCGGACGTTTCAAACAAGTTATATTACACACATGGCTTTCATTGCTCTAATCTTTAGTAACACGCATGCTAAGAATATCAAGAACTTGATCAAAAACACTAATTCAAAATAAAAAAGCATCATTCGAATAGAAAGATCTAAGATCAAAAAACACTGATATAAAAATAATAAGTTTCAATTGGCCCGTTCTTCCAGTTCAAATGATATTTCGGTGCATTTACAAAACAAGGAATAGAACAAAGAATTGTCGTTGCTGTCAACGTTAAAATGATTGCACGTCCTTAAAATAGAAAACAATAATTTTCAAAAAACACTGATACAAAATTTTAGAGTGAAATGAGCCCGTTCTTCAGTTCAGACGTCACGCCGATCATTTCATAGAACTCCTTTATTCCGGTGAGTCAACATCTTCAGAACTTCTGCCCTGTAAAAGAACACGAGATTAGAGAGTCACTTGCTTCTATCCTTGCTTATTGAGGTGGGCAGGCCCGCGAAAGACATCGCGAGAAGTTTGCTTGCCACAAAATTTGGAAGCCGTTTTCAGGGCGTGTTAACTTAACATTTACTAAGATTTTGGGTGCCTGTATATCGTAAACGGGCGAAGTGATGAACACGGTAACTTAAAATAAAATTTTGAATTTTGGTTTCTTTAAGAATAACTTATAAATTTCTCGGCCTAGCCATTCGCGAAATAAATTTACAAAATTCACAAAAAAGAAGAGGTTAAGTTAGCATGCCCTTGACAATTTGAGAGCAAAAAAATGGCAAGCTGATAAAGCTTGTCCATATTTGGCATTTGCAACGGCTTGCTTATCTTTTGTTGTGATCCGTACTGACGTCGCCGTCTTGCGAATGTGACGCCAAGTCGGCGTTTCCTCCAGAGACATGTCTTTCAACGTAGATTCCCCCTTGGAGCTTCCCCCTAACGCACCCGAGTCACAATTACGATTACGAGTTCGATTTCAACAAGCGCGTTTTCGAGAAATGCGGCAAAAGTGCAACCGATTTTTCTGTCCGATAAACGAACTATGAGTACGACTTCGAAATCTAAGATCGGATACACAGTAAATGTCATACGGTGAAAGGCTGCACCAACATAATATGGTGAAGAGTTTCTCCTTAATACCAACGAAATTCGTCAAAATCTTTAGAGGGTACAGTGAATTCTTAATGGTATGTTACGAAGTCAGCTGCACCACCATATTAGGGGACATTTTCACCATAATATGGAGAATCGTTCACTGTAGAACAAAGTGTACGCAACATGCTTAAATACGAATAACTGGGTTTCCCTCCGTCTTGGGATTGCAACGAGTTCGCCCACGGCAGAAACAGCTTCTGTTTTCACCAGGTACCCCATATAAAGACATGGACAATTTCCAGGGGCCTCCTAAAAAAAAACGATGGTTTTAACCGTAGCTTCTTAATACCTACTTGATCATGGATCAACACGTGTTTCCTTAGATTTGATCTGTCCGCAAATGCAGCTTTACAGACACGACATTCAAATGGCTTATCCTGGAGGTGAATTCTCAAGTGGACTTGCAGGTAGCTGGTAGAACTAACAGTTTTCCCACAAATGGAGCACTTTGGTTTGGCTGACTCAGTAGGAGGTTTGGAACTGAAAATTTTGAAATGAAATTTGATGACACAGTTTTGCAAACCCGTTGGCATACGATAAGAGGCTCAAATACCTTGGAATGTAGTTTGAAATCTTAAGTGGTTTCTTTTTAAGATTGACCAACAAATGCTGCGAGGCTCCAGTGAATTTTTGTTTCCGGAGGGAGGCGTACCTGAAAATATCATTTCACGCTTAGTCAAAGGAAAGTAGCCAAAACAAAGTGCCGTGTTTAGAGGTGCAAAGATGCACTCTCAGACTCGTATTGACATTTTATCTTTTGCCATAAAGGTTTTTGTGCAAACGTAATATGTACGATTTTCTCTTTGGCTATGCACTATTTTGTTCATTGTGTAATGTTTAAAGTCCATTAAACTGGACTTAATGTCATTTGCAATGTACTTTTCAATTTCTACATTATCTATTGACAATTATATCCCTAAAACGATCAAAATTGTGCATAGTTAAGGAGAAATAGTACATTTTACGTTTGCTCAAAAACCGCTTTAAACAAGAGAGAAAAAAGTCCATATAGGTCTGAGCGTGTGGCCCATCAGTCATCCTTGCTTTCAAAGCTCAGTAAGCTCACCGCGACGCAGCTCACCCTAGACTCCGACGAAGTCCCGGCCCATGGGCCCCGATACGACCCCGACCCGGCCCCGACCCGGCCGAGACCCGGCCCCGACCCGGCCGAGACCCGGCCCAGACCCGGCCGAGGGGCCGGGCCGGCCGACACCCGGTCGCCCTATAGGGACCCGGCAAAGCCTTGGCCAAGCCCCGACAGAGTCCACCCGAGTCCGGCCACGGAGTAAGAGTGCGCCACCGGAAGAGTGGTCTCCCTACACCGTAAGTCCGGTGGAACCCGCCACAGTCCGGACTCACGGTGTAGGGAGACCACTCTTCGGGTGGCGCACTCTTACTCCGTGGCCGGACTTGTCGGGGCTTGGCCAAGGCTTTGCCGGGTCCCTATAGGGCGACCGGGTGTCGGCCGGCCCGGCCCCTCGGCCGGGTCTGGGCCGGGTCTTTGCCGGGTCTGGGCCGGGTCTCGGCCGGGTCGGGGCCGGGTCTCGGCCGGGTCGGGGCCGGGTCGGGGCCGGGTCGGGGTCGTATCGGGGCCTATGGGCCGGGACTTCGTCGGAGTCTAGGGCACTCACCAACCGAATCCGCCTAAAATGCTCTAAAATGCATCAAATTAACTAATAATTAGGGTGATTCCGTTGTGGGTTTATGTAGGGACATCGAATAAATTTTGGAGGCTACGTTCAATGTTTTGATCGTGCCAAGACGAACGAAACAAGCCGAATTTTAAACCGAAGCTAACCGTTTTAACAATTTGAACATGTACAAATATGCTGAATTAATTATTCAGAACATTCAGCAAAGTTCTGCAGGTTGTGCAGGCACCACCTGCGTTCGAAAATAGCGCAAAATCGAAGGTAAGTTTTTGGTGTACGTACACTTTGTAGGGACACACGTACTGACGAACGCTTGCAAGCACTGTTAGAAATTCTGTCGTAAATTAGCGACAAAAAAGTCGCTAATTTTCATAGCGACGGAAATCGTTCTTAAACTGCTTCGTCGTAACTGAACGACTAAGAAATTATTTCTCTACGACAATGTCGTAATCGCGATTACATATTTTGACACCTGAAATCCCCGAAAAGTTGGTGAAAAGTTACAATTTTGCTCACTTATTTATGTTTTGGTCGTTCTTTTACGATTCATAGCAAAAATTTACGACAAGAGTCGTAAATGTACGACTGAAGTCATAACTGCACGACATATTCCAAAGATAATTTACGATTGTTCGTAAACTTACGATTAAGTCGTAAAATTACGACTTAATTCGTTTTAAAACGAAACGTGTTGCTATCAAAGTTAGCGACAAATATGTCGTACATTTACGACTCAAGTCGCATATTTACGACTTAAGGGGGCTCATACATGTTAAAAGCACTTTAAAAAAAAAAAATTGATGTAGACGGATTAAGATTTTACAATTTCTGTGTTAAAATCCTTTTAGATAATTGAGTAAGCTTCATTTTGGCTTAAGGAAAAGTGACTTTGGACATTTTTTGGAGATTTAGTCGAAACGTTTAAAATTTTGCTTCTCGTAAGATTTTGTTCGCATACTTGCTCAGATCTGTGGGGAAAAAATCAGGGAGACTCATCCCCAATAGTGTCATAGAATTGACTAGAATGGGCTTTATATCTGCAATAGTTTTCAAGAAAAAAAATAAAAACAATATTTTTAACAATTTTTTAAACAAATTTTTCAACAAAAAATTGTTTTTATTTTTTTTCTTGAAAACTATTGCAGATATAAAGCCCATTCTAGTCAATTCTATGACACTATTGGGGATGAGTCTCCCTGATTTTTTCCCCACAGATCTGAGCAAGTATGCGAACAAAATCTTACGAGAAGCAAAATTTTAAACGTTTCGACTAAATCTCCAAAAAATGTCCAAAGTCACTTTTCCTTAAGCCAAAATGAAGCTTACTCAATTATCTAAAAGGATTTTAACACAGAAATTGTAAAATCTTAATCCGTCTACATCAAAAATTTTTTTTTTAAAAAGTGCTTTTAACATGTATGAGCCCCCTTAAGTCGTAACAAAATATGTCGTTTACAAACGACATAATTGTTCTAAAAAATGTCGTAACTTTACGATTATTTTTAACAGTGTAGTACCCAATAACGTGAACTAACGTCACACTTACAACTGCATGGATGCCACCGCATGACTACAACCCACGCATGTGAAATGATACTTGCTAAGTTTGCATTTACAAGTGTGATCACTAAGAATCCAAACGCTATGAATACAGCGTCAATTGGTGCAATGCCTTCCCAAGCCCTTGCATTAGCATAGGGCCTTTTCGGGACGCATTGCACGTAAGGTGCAATGTGGCTGAGGCATTGCACGTATGGTGCGATATCTCAGCTGCATTGCACCATACGTGCTATACTCATAGCGTTTGGAATCTCAGTGCTAAGTTGGAATTTAGATTTATGTGTAACTTTAGCGCCTAATTTCCTGAAACGAGATCCGATTGTCGGTCTATCGCTCCACCGTAACTTGTTGTCTGACATTCACTTAAGGGGGCATTACACTGAAAATGGCCCAAAATTGAGTTGTGTGATTGCTTCCATACGCGTTGTTGTGCGTTGTTCAAACTTTTCACGTGTCAAGGCCTTACAAAAAAAATCATTTTAAGCCCAGAATGGCGTCGATCGGACGTCAGGGAGCGGAGCAGCAACCAATCAAATTTTCGTCGAAAGTCGAACTGGCGGGCGTCCCTCAGTCCGCAAAAATGAAGATATCTCGACCCCGTTTGCGCCAAAATGTAGGTAATTGAAGCGGCTATCGCATGAACTAGGATTGTGAACATCGAACAATCAAAAGTACAAAATTTTACGAAAAAAAAAAAATGTTTTGAACATTTTTGCAAAATCCTCAACAAGTGTTTTTGGATGAAATTTTGTTCTTTCGGTTGCTCGATGTTCATAATCCTAGTTCATGCGATAGCCGCTTCAATTACCTACATTTTAGCGCAAACGGGGTTGAGATATCTTCATTTAGCGGAGGGAATGCCCGCCAGTTCGACTTTTGACGAAAATTTGGTTGGTTGCTGCTCCGCTCCCTGACGTCCGATCGACGCCATTCTTGGCTTAAAATGATTACTTTTGTGAGGCCTTGACACATGAAAAGTTTGAAAAACGCTCAACAACGCGTATGGGAGCAATCGCACAAGTCAGTTTTTGGCCATTTTCAGTGTATTCCCCCCTTTAATCTACTCACTGTTTAGACTGGCTGAGTTTGACCATCCTCTTTTTACGAACGTACCTTGATAAGAGAGTCCCTGTTGCCTTCTTAAAAGAAAACTTTAGGTTTTCCGTTTCAATTGTGAATCCAGCGTTTTCCTTCCTCATTTCTTGAACGTCAACACCCCGCAGGGTACTGCATGCTTCGGAGTGTTTTCAGCAGCGATGATCCAAAAAGAGCCTTGGTAGCTGCAGCCCACGCCCCTGCAGTCTCTTTGATCCAGAAGGATTTTTTTTCCACAGCAAACTTCAGATTCTTTTCCAAAGTTTCAAGATTTTCGCTGCTGAAACAGATGCAGCTGCTGATGCGTGGGACAGTTTCTTTCGCACATTTGCCTCACGTCCAGAATCTCTCGAGGTACTGCGGAAGATGTCCACCTTCCGTCTTCTGACCGGTACACTGGTAAACATTTCAGTATTTTGGGAATAGCTGAGGTCAGACTTCTGTAAATACGAGCAAATCTGGTTGAAAGCTTTCCCTTTTGGAGACGCCACTCCAATTTCTTTAACGAAGGGGATAACTTTGTCGGGTTCAAGAAGTATTGATTCAGTATCATTCTCTTCGTCAACACTTGATATTATCTTGGCTAGTCTTCGAGCCTGTAGGTAGCATCGTTCCTTTTGGGAAATCGTTGATACTTGCAGCCATTTTGTCCAGTTGATGGTCCCTTTTTACAGAAACAACCGCCTCAGTAATCCCTTTAAAATGAAACACAGCTCCATGAGGACCAGATATCGTTACACGGGGGAGTAAAGGGGGGAGGTACCAAGACGTGGTTTGAGCAATTTTTCAGATAATACTGCATCCTGGTTACCAGACGACCCACTTAAAAAAAAGCAGTGTTTCAAACTAAAATGTTCATTAAAAAGATCTGCTTGTTTAAAATTTTTGGAACCGAAATGTATTTGTTTTCAGGCATGCGTCCGATTGGAAGCATTTGACGCTTCGGACGTCTATTTAAGTTTCTTACTGAAATTTTGGTCTTGGTGATCCCCCACCCTCGAGAGGGTGAATCACTAGTGCACTCATGTGCACATATTAGCCCGTACTCGGTGTACTAACAAATTTTAAAAGAGCGAAAAAAACCCAAAATTTGTACGGGATTCGGTATTGTCTTTGGTTTGAAACGCTATAAGGTGTAAAAACGTTAACAATATGCCCAATTTATAAGCATTATCATTAGGTGTACTAACTTGTACTCATGTGTACACCAAAACACTGGGTGATTCACCCCCGCCCGCCCCCTTTTTAAATCATTTCACCAGCAGAGAGAGGTCTATGATTTCAAAGGTACATTACCATACTTCTTTCTGCACTGGTCATCTACTTCACGCGTTTCACAGTCTTCTAAAAAAAAAAAAAAAAAAATAAAGAGTTTTTTTTTTAAATTTGGGTTTGAATGCATAGAATTTCGTAAGATGTTTTTACTTACCGGGATCATCGCTCAGGTGTAAATTTAACTCGTCGCTTTTCGAAGAACCATCTGATTCAGAACTTTCACTCAGAAATAGTGATTCATCGTGGCTTATCGACGAAGCATCTGGAGGAGCAGACAGGAGACACTTCATGAACGAACTTATTGCTGCGAAGGGGGCTGTGAACCTTCTCGGGGTCAAGAGGGAACGTTCTGACCCCTGAACTAGTCCCTTAACAACGATTCCTTATTCTGTGTTCAAACCCAAGACTTCCATTCCCTTTAATCGTGGATTCCCATAGGGCAAGCGATCATAGTTACTTGGTGAGTTTACGGTAGCCCACTTCTCGCGGAGGGTGAAAAAGAACACTCAAATTTTAAGGGAGGTTCTACTGAAAATCTTCTTTCTTCAAATTGAGTCCCACTTTCAATATTCATGAAATTTAAAGAATTTCATAGTAAATAGTTAAATTAGAAGTTGGAGAGCAATACCTAGCCCCAAATCCAGTCGAAGGGGAATTTTCTGCTACATGCAGTCGTATCTTGAAAAATTCTCCTACGCAAAGTATTACAACGTAAACTGATGTTCTGGGCATATTTCACTTCTTTGGTTCATTCTTGATAAACCGTGGCATAAGTAAGATACGGGACCACTAAAAAAAGGGTTGCACTCAATCCAAAAAAGAAATTTCCCCTTTTTCCCGGTATTTCCCGGTCCAAATTAAGGCTTTTCTAGGTTTTTTTAGTGGTTCAAAAGGGGCTTTTTCAGGGCGCGGCAGCGTCGGGAAGGCTTTGACCGCTGATAGTTTGGGAGCAGTGGGCTTGCAAAAATGGTCAAACAGTGAATAAATTTCAGAAAATCACCGTTTTTTCTGACTTTTAGTGGACTGCATCCAATTTTGTTGCGGTCAAAGGCCTCCCTCGACGCCTTACTATTCTAAAGACCCTACTCTTTCATGTACCGCCTCGGGAAGGCTTTGACCGCTGATAGTTTGGGAGCAGTGGTCTTGCAAAAATGGTCAAACAGTGAATGAATTTCAGAAAATCACCGATTTTGCTGACTTTGAGCGGTCACTGCATCCAATTTAGTTGCGGTCAAAGGCCTCCCTCGACGCCTCACTATTCTAAAAACCCCACTCTTTCATGGCCCGCCTCGGGAAGGCTTTGACCGCTGATAGTTTGGGAGCAGTGGTCTCGCAAAAAATGGTCAAAAAGTGAATGAATTTCAGAAAATCAGGTTTTTTCTGACTTTGAGCTGTCACTGCATCCAATTTAGTTGCGGTCAAAGGCCTCCCTCGACGCCTTTCTATTCTAAAGACCCCACTCTTTCATGGCCCGCCTCAGGAAGGCTTTGACCGCTGATAGTTTGGGGGCAGTGGGCTCGCAAAAATGGTCAAACAGTGAATGAATTTCAGAAAATCACCGATTTTGCTGACTTTGAGCGGTCACTGCATCCAATTTAGTTGCGGTCAAAGGCCTCCCTCGACGCCTTACTATTCTAAAGACCCTACTCTTTCATGGCCCGCCTCGGGAAGGCTTTGACCGCTGATAGTTTGGGAGCAGTGGTCTCGCAAAAATGGTCAAACAGTGAATGAATTTCAGAAAATCATGGTTTTTGCTGACTTTGAGCTGTCACTGCATCCAATTTAGTTGCGGTCAAAGGCCTCCCTCGACGCCTTACTATTCTAAAGACCCTACTCTTTCATGGCCCGCCTCGGGAAGGCTTTGACCGCTGATAGTTTGGGAGCAGTGGTCTCGCAAAAATGGTCAAACAGTGAATGAATTTCAGAAAATCACCGATTTTGCTGACTTTGAGCGGTCACTGCATCCAATTTAGTTGCGGTCAAAGGCCCCCTCGACGCCTCACTATTCTAAAAACCCTACTTTTTTATGGCCCTCCCCGGGAAGGCTTTTACCGCTGATAGTTTGGGAGCAGTGGTCTCGCAAAAATGGTCAAACAGTGAATGAATTTCAGAAAATCATGGTTTTTGCTGACTTTGAGCTGTCACTGCATCCAATTTAGTTGCGGTCAAAGGCCTCCCTCGACGCCTTACTATTCTAAAGACCCTACTCTTTCATGGCCCGCCTCAGGAAGGCTTTGACCGCTGATAGTTTGGGAGCAGTGGTCTCGCAAAAATGGTCAAACAGTGAATGAATTTCAAAAAACACCGATTTTGCTGACTTTTAGCGGTCACTGCATCCAATTTTGTTGCGGTCAAAGGCCTCCCTCGACGCCTTACTATTCTAAAGACCCTACTCTTTCATGGCCCGCCTCGGGAAGGCTTTGACCTCTGATAGTTTGGGAGCAGTGGTCTCGCAAAAATGGTCAAACAGTGAATGAATTTCAGAAAATCATGGTTTTTGCTGACTTTGAGCTGTCACTGCATCCAATTTAGTTGCGGTCAAAGGCCTCCCTCGGCCTTACTATTCTAAGACCCTACTCTTTCATGGCCCGCCTCGGGAAGGCTTTGACCGCTGATAGTTTGGGAGCAGTGGTCTCGCAAAAATGGTCAAAAGGATTGAATCCCCGAAAGTATGATTGTCATTTTATTGGATGATGTTGATTGTTTCACTGATTACCAGCTAGACGTGCAATGATTATCTTGAGTTGAGCACCCCTTGCTGCGGCACCGACGACTACGACTGAACCTTTAGAAGAAATTGACCTACAGGCAGCGCAGGGGTTTTTCGCCTTTTTTCCCCGGGTTTTAAATGAAATTCCCGGTTTTTTTTCCCCGGGTTTTTTAAGGAGATTTATTTTTCCCCGGGGTTTTTTCCCCGGTTTTTCCGGGTTTTTCCCCGGGCGGTGGCCACCTGAAAAATTAAAAACTGGTTTTTTAAAGGGCAGCATGTCACTAGAATTTCAAGAAAATGGTAAAAATCCTGATATTTTACTGTCTTTTTTTTTTTCTGAAAAGTAACCAAAAATTTATTTGTTGGGTCCCTTGTCAAGGTGATGCTACGCTTTTATTGCATATGAGCCAAAGAAGGAAAAATGTCTAGATCATCAGTTTACGTCAAAAACTTTGAGTAGGAGAATTTAGAAGATAGGCCTATGCTAAAATAGGGAAAAAACCTCTTGACTGGGTTTGGAGGAAGGTGTTTAGCTCTAAATTTCATGTTTGACTATTAACCATGAAGTACTACACATCTGCAACAAATGATTACACTCGGGCTCAATTTGAAAAATGCATATATTCAGAACCTCCCCTTAATGACCGTATAAGGTGTTCATTGGGCCCAAAAAAATTATGAACTTGCCTTTAGGAGCGCTACAAGTGCACACAGGATTACTGTGACATTGCTTAAATAGTCATTGAGGTCTATAAAGGTTTGGGTTAAAAAGGGTTTTGAAGTATAATTATTTTTTACCCGGATCTAAACACCTATCAGAAATTGACCTTTTCGGGGCTAAGCTTTTTGTGCAAATAACCGAATCTTTGCGCCGCCACACTGTAAGACTCAACCTACTTGCAGCAAAATTGCATTGAACTCGTTGTTGTTGATACTCCAGTACTCTACAAACTGAAGTGTGTACTCAGTATGCGTCTACAGATGCATAGGCTGAGAAAGTCTACTGATGCATACCTAACCTAACTCATTTAAGCATGCATCTGTAGATGGGGTCCTTGCAAGTATGCATCTGAGACGCATACTGAGTACACACTTCAGTTTGAAGAAATGCTTACCCCGGAAAGATCTTTTTTAAAGTAATCCAGAGTACACTGTATACTG